GGAAAGTAAGGCGAGCATGCCGTTGAGGGATTGGATCGACTTCTTCGTGGCGAGTGTGGTGATTTCCGAAAAGGCGTGGCACTTGTCTGGATTTGCCTCGATCCCGCGCTCCGTCAGGTAGTAGCCGAGGAATTTTCCTGCGCGGACGCCGAAGGTGCATTTCTCCGGGTTGAAGCGCATTCGACATTTCCTCGCTGTGTCGAAGACCTTTTTGAGATGGGCCGTGTGGTCGAATTCCGTGTAGGACTTGACGATCATGTCGTCCATGTACACTTCGAGCATGTCGCCAATTTCCCCCCGGAAGACGTTGTTCATCATTCGTTGGTACGTGGCGCCGGCGGTCTTTAGGCCGAAGGGCATTACGTTGTAGTAGTAGTTTCCCGACGCCGTCATGAAGGCCGTGCTCTGTTTGTCGTGCTCGGCCATCGGGATCTGGTTGTACCCCGAGTATGCATCCATAAAGGACAAGAGCTTGAAGCCCGTGGAGTTGTCGACGAGTTTGTCGATGTTGGGGAGAGGATAGGCGTCCTTAGGACATGCCCGGTTGAGGTCGGTATAATCAACACACATGCTCCATTTTCCATTATTCTTTTTAACGAGTACAACATTGGACAGCCAGGTTGAATACCGGGCTTCCGAAATAAAATTTGCCTCTAGGAGGTCTTTTACAGTTTTTTCAGCCGCCGCCGACTTTTCGGGGGACTGTCTACACCTGCGTTGTACTACGGCCTTCGCGGTCGGGTTGATGGACAGCTGATGGCAGGCGACCTCGGGGTCGAGTCCGGGCACCTCCGCAGCGCTCCAAGCGAAGAGGTCGGCGTTCTCGCGGAGGCAGGCCTGTAGCTGTCTCTTCGTTAGGTCTAGGAGTCCGACTCCGATCTTCATGGTTTTGCTCTTGTCGTCCCCGAGCGTCACGATCTCGAATTCACCATCTGGGATGGGGGGCACTGGGTGGGTAGGCTGGTTGGCATCGCCGAGCTCTTCTTCATGATCGTGCTCCTCGGTGAAGTGGCAGTCGAGGTCCACGGATCCAACGAGCTCCTTTGGTTCGCTCTTCGGTGTCACAGTTGGGGTTGCCTTCTTAGTTGCTGTAGCGATGGTGCTCAAGCCTTTCAGCACGGCCTCGAAGCACCTCCGGGCAGCCTCAATGTCCCCGTTCAGGGTCACTACGGCCCCCCGCCTCGTGTAGTACTTCATTTTTAGGTGGATGGTGGAAGGCACCGCGGTGAGTTCGGCCATCGTCGTCCTGCCCAGGATACAGTTGTAGAGGGACGGGCACTCGATGACTAGGAAGCAGATGTTGATTTCCCTGGCGGTTTCCTCTTCCCCGAATGTGACTTTCAGTTCCACGTATCCCCATGGTCTCGTGGTCGTCCCGTTGAATCCTTGGAGGTCGGAGCCCATGTAGGGGGATAGGTTGGATTCGTCGAGTTGGAGGGTCGTGAAGAGGTGAGTGTACATGATGTCCACTGAGCTGCCCCCGTTAACGAGGATGCGTTTGACATCAAAGTTCGCCATCTTTGCCCGTATCAGCAAGGGAATGTTGGAATTGGGGGAGCCCCTGGGGAGTTCCTCGAGGTAGAAGGTGATCGGGTTGGATCGGCCGCGAAATTTTTCGAGCGTGCTCATCTTCCCGGAGTTGCTCGTGATAAGTTCTTCAAACTTTCTTTTCACCGATCCTACAGATAGGTTCCTCGTAGATCCGTCGGAGATGACCATGGCTCTTGGGAAGTATTCCCATCGACTGGTGGGTCGTACCGGTTCGTCGTGCAGGTCAGGGCCGCCGGGGAGGCCGAACTCTCTATCAGCGAACCAATCCTCGGGGCGGCTGACACATAGGGCGACCTGGAGTCCGTTATCGCCGTCCGAAGAGGGGAGCTCTTCGACTTTCTTGGCCTCGGGAGCTTCTTACCTCGGGGCTTCTTATCTCTTCAGGTGACCGAGGGGGGGGGGGGACCATGCATTTGGCAGAGGCACCTGGTTTCGGGTCCGCGGCCTCCTGACTGGGGGGTCAATGCGGCGAGGCCCGGTCGGGGCCCCTGCTCTGGCTTGTCGTCTCTGACAAACTTGTCTCATCGGGGACCATGTCCGCTCCCGTACTGCTTCGGGTTGGGGCCTCTCCAGCCGAGGTCATCGATTTCTGGTTTGAGGCGAGGGACTCCTCGAGTTTCCGTTCTGGTCTTCCCGCAGAGGGGACCTCAACGGGGCCTCGCGTTCTAGCGTTCCAATCCGAGTGTTCTGTTGAAACAATAGCTGGTTCGTCTGGTTGATGGCCGCGAAGAGGGAGGCCACTGTTGGGTCCGCTCCTGCCGGGACGGGAACAGGTTGGAACGCTGCTGGGCTCTGGGGCCGGTGGACGGCCTGATGTGTCGGTTCTGCGGACGGCGGTGATTCAGTCTGACCGTCTCTCTCGTCGGTCTCCGCTGGGCGTGACGTCTCTGTTTGCTTGCCGCCGTTTGCGGCAGCGTTGAGCATGAAGTCATGCACGGTATCGTCGTGGTGTGGGCTAGCCATGATCGTGGAATGTTGGTGAAACTTTGGTTTTCTGCTCGGAGTAACGGGGAAGTTTCTGTCCCCACAGACGGCGCCACTGATCTGACCTGACCAGGAGGGGATCACGGGCTGGCCACACTCTGTTGGACTGCTACCTGTTCACCGGTGATGAGGAGGAGAAGAGGGGTGTACCTGAAAGACAATTCAATGTCAAAGTAAGGAATTGGGCAGAGTGAGAGCAAAGTACAGAAAATGGGTAAGAAGTGAATTACCTTACCCTCTTGTGGAAGATGGTATTTATAGAGAGACCTGGGCCAACGGTCACTTGTGTTGGGCTGGATTGCCAGACCCAACCCAGGTGACTACTAGGGCTTACGTGGCGTAGTGAAGACCAGGACGTGGTCTTCGCCCTAGTCCAACTGTCCCATGATCTCCGAAAGTGGGTTTGACCTGCTCTTTCGGAGGTGGGCAGTTGGTTGGTGACGTGTCCCCGCGGTGGGGAGCACGTGGAGAACGTGTGGAAGACACGTTGTCTTGCCCGGCGAGGGAGCAGGTACTGCCCGCGGAGGGCGGCGTTTGGTCGTGATGGGAGTTCCCTGCTTGACGTAGTCGGTGCAGGTCCTTCTTATGGGGAGACCGTCCCTGCTCATCGTGGACCCGATGCCCGACGTTGTGCCCAGGCTGGTCTGAGCTCGGTGGGACAATATTGGGCTGGGCCCGTGTGGTCAGGCTGGGGCCCAGGCCAGAACTATATATATATATATATATATATATATATATATATATATATATATATATATATATATATATATATATATATATATATATATATATATATATATATATATATATATATATATATATATATATATATATATATATATATATATATATATATATATATATATATATATATATATATATATATATATATATATATATATATATATATATATATATATATATATATATATATATATATATATATATATATATATATATATATATATATATATATATATATATATATATATATATATATATATATATATATATATATATATATATATATATATATATATATAGTTATTTTTTTAATTATATATATTTATTCGTATGTAATTATTTTTTAATTATAATTTTAATAATATTTTATTAAATAAATATGCTTAGATCAAAGAAACAATTAATAATTCATTCATTCTTTTGAAAACTAATAAAATATAATATGTTTTTTTTTTAAAGTTTCATTTCCTCTTTCAATAAAATTACTATTTATGGAATGTTTTTTAGCATTACTTATAATAAATATATCTTCTCAATAATTTATATTAATATCTTAATAACTTTTGTTATCACAATTCAAGAAGTAATAATATTACATTAAAAATTGTATTAAAAGAAAATGAATTATTTCTATACATAGGTAACTCAAATAATTTCGATTTAAGTATTTATTAATTTAAATTATTTAAAATAATAAAATATACATAAAATAATCATGTTAATTTAAAATAAATATTCAAAAGTTTAAAATAAACATATATTTAAAATCAATTTTTAGTAATATTTGTAAATAATAATTAAGCGAACTAAAATAATAATATTTATTAATTTATAATTAAGATTAGATCAAAAATATTTATTTAAAAATATTATTTAAAATTATAATTATCTATAAATATCTAATATCTAATACTTACAAAAGCATTATATAAATATTCTAATTTAATTAAAATATTATAAGAAGAATAATATTATAATAGAATAGAATCAAATGTAAAAATTAAAAAATAAAAATATTTATCACATTTGGCAAAATAATGCATATTTAAAAAGTAGTTTGTCAATTATTATCAATTAAAAGAAATAATTAATTTTGTAGTTTGTCAATTATTATCAATTAAGAAATAATTAATTTTGTTGATTGCATTGTATATCAAACAATTTTTTTTAACGTCTATCTTGTGTTACATCATTGTTTACAAGTATGTGTTGTTTATCTTAAATCATTCAATCTGGTAAGTTTGTTTATTTGTTTACAACCTTGTGTTTGATTCAATTCTTTCAATCATCATTTTATTTCTTTTAAATTTTTATTTGTTTGTTAGTTTAATTTTTCTAAGTTTCAAATTTTAAAATATTTATCATATTTTCAATTTATTAAGTTTTGAATCGACCAACAAAGGATGTACATCATGTGGGTGTATGGAAAATAAAGGATGAACCAAATGAAAATATTACTCCTAAAAAAATATTTCTCCTCTTTCTGAATGATGGTAATGTTACCAAATGAAAATGTGACATGCAAACTGCTAAACAACATATTATCTTTTTTCTTCACAGAAAAACCTACTTCGATCCATGAAATGTAGTATGTTACACAGAAAGTATATTACAAAGTTTCTCTATACAACAAAGTTAGGCATCATTGTGAGTCGTTGAAAGAAGGACTTGGATGAAATCTTTTCAACTAAAACGCTGGAGGAGTAGACCCCTGTGAAGCCTTATTTTCTAGACATCTTTGACCAAAGATACACAATCAAGAAACAGATCAATGCAAAAGCAATCACATGAACAATGTGATTTGAACCATTGCGCACGATGCTCTTGTTCAATCTTCTTAAGTTATTCTTCACCCCAGCTTGAGCTTTTGCCATTGTCATTTGCTGTATTAAAATAGATAGAAGCAAAAAATTAAGAAGACAGACATACATTTTCTTTTTACAAGGGAAATGATGTATCAATAACCGATCTATTACTACTGCAAATCAATATTCAACAAAAACCAGCCAAAACATTTTTTCTCCATATTCATTTTCAGAAACTGTAAATCTTTCTAATACCATCTGTTCCAGAAAATCTCTATTTGTCTTGACTTCTGTACCTATCTCTTCAGCAACCTGCAGCATAAATGTACAACATCGCGAATAAGAAACAAAATCAGAAGAAAGAATCTCTGCACTAAATACAGTTTCATCAAACTAATTCTAATACAAATAAAATACTTAGCAAGTAACCAGCGTATAATTGAACAAGTCAAACTGCTAAGATTCTATAAACTCAGCTGGAAGCAGCAGGCATGCAAGCATCAGTTATCAAAGAATGTCCGAAATGCGATCCAATTATCAAGTGTATAGTGAATAAACTCCACATGCATAAACACACACAATATGAATTTAACTATATCGTTCTGTTAATTTCCCCTCTTTTCTAACATAGTAAAACCTAAAAGTCATAATTTAAAAAAAGAACAATTTTTATATTATCTATAAGCAGGTGCATAAATAGAAAGAAAAAATAGGTAAAATTGGGGAAGATAGATAGATAGATACATTACATTTCTCAATCTTCTAACTTGACCACGAAGACCGGTGATCTCATCGTCGAATTCCATGACAGGATCAATACGCAACTGAATTTCATCGGAGGGAGCGGCGGCGGTTCTGGTGGTTAGTCCGTCTCTGCAATTCAAACATGTTAACTTTTCGATTGAATGAGAAATTGAGGGAAACGAAAGAAGAGAGAGAGAGAGAGGAATGGTGTTACCTTGATCGATAAGGATCAGCATCGCCGTAAAAAGATCCACCTCTGAAGGAATTCGACGACATTGAATTGAAGAAAAAGCTTGAATCGAAGAAATAGAGAGAAAGAAAGCGAAATCAAATTCTTGATCTTGATTACGATTTCGATTGTGCAGAAATGAATTGCGTCTGTTTCGTTTTTTATATAACACCGGAAGCAACAGAATGAAAAGTAAAATTGGTGATTTTTTTTTTTTTATTGTAAAGAAAGCGGTAGTGTTTTAAGTTTGTTACAAGATATACACTATTGCTTTTCAACTATACATACACACGTGTCATTCAGTTTTATAAATTATCTATAAATTTTTATATATCTAATAAATATATAAATTACATTTGTATAATTCATATGGTTGTTATTGTGTTTCCTGAATTTCTCTTCATGCTTAACAATCAATTAAATTTTAAATGAAAAAGTGAATTTTTATGAGGGAGAAACTCTCTTTTCTCTAACTTTTTCTTAAGCGTTCCTTGTGTTTTTATGAATTGGATTAAGATAGGTAAGGAGGATTTTCGGAATCTACAGACGAGATGAGATATTTGTCCGGCAGTTAAGAAGGTTCAAGAAGAGGATGTTTCTCGGCTCATAACTATCTTTTTTCCGGAGATTCCAAACAGGGTGAAAGCTTCTGATGTATTTGATTTTTTCGGGTGTATTGGAGATGTGGTTGAGGTTGTGATACCTCCAAAAAGAAATAAGTTTGGGAAAAGATTTGAGTTAGCTAGGTTTAAGGATATGGATTGTGCTAGATTACTTGTAGTGAAATTGGACAACATGATTATCGATGGAAAAAAAATTCCTGCAAATATTCCTCGTTTCATTAGGAGTTGAGGGCTTGCTAAGGTTGGTGAGGATGGAGAAATTGAGGCTAGTAAGAAAGCTGAAGGCAAGGCACCGAATTTGAGTAAGCAGGGAAAGAGAGGAATGGGTCGTGATTGCAAAGTAGGATCAAAATCTTTCGCGGAGATAGTCAACAACAAAAAAGACCACTCGTCTAAAATCACTGAGGTGGTTAAATAAGACATTTCTTTTGAAGCTTTAGAAGAAGATTTTAGCAGGTTGAAGGAGGCATTTGTGGGGGAGGTTTGCAATCCCAGAATAACTTACAATATTCAAACTTGTTTTGAAACAAAATGGTACTTTCTATAAAGGTGACTCCACTTGGGGCTAACCTTTGCTTATTGGAAGAAGTTGAAGACGAAGCAATTGTGGATTTGATCTCAGAAGGTGAAAGTTGGTGGAAACAGTGGTTCAAGGATATTAGAAGGTGGGGGGAAGATGATGTTGATAAGGAAGAGTAACTTGGGTGAGGATCCATAGAGTTCCATGTCACGCGTGGAATTTACCTTTTTTTCAAAATGCTTGTGAAATCGATTAGGACATGCTTATGCTCAGATGATAAAACTTTGAAAGGGAGTTTCATGGATATTGCGAAGGTTATGGTTAGAACTACTTGTGTTGTAGTTCTGAATCAGATTATTCGTGTTAAGATCAATGGGAATTTTTATGGCATCAAGTTATCTGAAGATTCTTTTGGTCCGCTGCGAATTTTTGTGAATTCAAACTCGGATAAGAGAGCAGTTTCAACATCTTCATCCTCCGATTCAAAGTTTGGGTAGTGTAACCATAATTCCAGTAAGTTAGAGGATGGAGACGTAGAGGTCTGCTCTGATAGTTTTGAGGATGGCATCGAGCCTGATGGTGACATTATAGGAAGCGTGGGTAAGAAGGTAGTTGAGGTGAGTAGGAGGGAGACATATCTTTTAACGGGTAATGATGTCCTAGGTGGCAGTTTTGATAAGGAAATATGTGCGGTAAAAAAAGCTATTTCCCTTGGGTCATTACCTGGTGGGACCATCAATGTCATTTCTTCTGATTCTAGTTCAATTGGGATGAAAGTTTCCTGCTCTTTTGAGGAGAAGTTAAAAGACAAGGTTACATGTGGGGTGAGTAAACCTTCTTTTCTTACTAAGGTAAAAAATTTAAAAAATATTAAAAGTATTTATGTGGTGGGTGGGCCAAAGTCTGAAAAGAAGAGAATGCCCGAGAAGAAACTTTGAAAAAGGTTATGCCTAGTGATCCAACTTCTGAATTTAATCTGTCTATTGTGCCTCTTGCTTTTCCCTGTAAGGTTGTTGATACTCATTCTCTCAGAGCATCTTATCATTCACGCGAATTGGAAAAAGACAAGTTATCTGTTGGGGCAGTTATTTGTTGTGATTCAACGTGTGATTTAGATATGGTTCGTTGCAACGTTAGGTTTTAGGATAACATTGAATCTAATGTTGGGGCGAAATTATGGAAGACAATATTGAATTTGGGCATTGTGTCTAATGATTCTGATAGAAATTTCGAGAAGAAGATTAAGGAATTAGAAATAAAAGACAAAGAGAAGAGGCAAGGTTTTAAGGCGTTTAACGTGGAAGCAGAATGATTATAGGTTCCCTTAATATTAGAGGAGGAGGTAATGTGATAAAGAGGGAGAGAATTAACCATATTATTGCTCATGGCAGGGCATACATTTTTTTGATTCGGGAATCCAAACTTTCAACTATAAGTGTCAGCATTATTGACAGCATGTGGAGTAAGGAAATAATAGGATGGTCTCATTCAACTTTTGTTGGTCAATTGGGAGGGATCTTAACTATTTGGAAGGAGGGAGTTCTTGAGGTTATTTTCAGTTTTAAGGGGAATGGTTATTTAGGTGTAAAGATTTTATGGAAGGATAACTTTTATTATGTCATAAATGTTTACTCTCCCTGTTCTTTGTTGCTTAAAAGGAAACTTTGGAAGGAGCTTTTGGATCTTAGGTCGAAATATATAGATGGAGAATGGTGCTTGAGTGGTGATTTTAATGTTGTTGCTGACCATAAGAAGAGGAAAGGGAGAAACGTGGATAGTAGAATTTTTGAAGTGGCAGATTTTTTGAGGTTTATTCAGGAGTGTTATCTTATTGATTTACCGTGCATTGGGAAATAAGTTTAGTTGGTATAGCGGAGATAGAAAAGCTATGAGTAGGAGTGATCGTTTTCTGTTATCTGATCCCTTGGTAAGCGGGTAACATATTGTTGGCCAATTGATTAGCAAAAGGGACGTTTCCAATCATTGTCTGATTTGGCTTGTGATCAACAATGCGAATTGGGGACATAAACCATTTAAGATCAATAACAATTGGTTCGATTTTAAAGAATTCTTACCTTTTATGGAGTCTGAATGTTGAAAGTTGAATATGGAAGAGAGGAGCGATTTTCTGATTAATAAGAAATTCAGGTTGTTGAAGGATAGTCTTAGGAGATGGAATACATAGGTGTTTGGTATGATTAATCTTGAGATTGAAGATGGAAAACGTTTAATTAACGGCAGATGAGTTGTTTATTAATTGTATGGAGGAATTAATTGACGAGGTGGTTGCCGGTAGAAGAGAGGCTAATGGCAGGATGTGGTAGAATTTGAGAATGAAGAAGAATATGTTATTTCAAAAGTCGGGGTTGAAGTGGTATCAGGATGGTGATGCTAACAGTAGCTATTTTCATGGATTATGTAGGAAAGGAGACGCAGGAACTTTATTGGCTCAATTTCGATAGAATATGGAGTGGCAGATACATTGGAAGGTGTGAAGGAAGCTGCGAGGAGTCATTTTGAGGAGAAGTTTATGAAAACTGATTTTAATAGGCCTTATCTTGAAGGGGTTTCTCTTTGCAAATTTTCGGCTTTGGATTATAACAATTTAGAAGCTGAATTCTCTGATTTGAAAATTAAGGAGGCAATTTGGGATTGTGAGGGGTCGAAGAGCCCAGAATTAGACAAGTTTAACTTCTTTTTCATCAATAAGTGTTGGCACATTGTTAAATATGATATCCTATGTAACACCCTAAATTCTTGGAATGTTTATTTAATTTATTTAAATATGAATATTCGCATTTTTGGTGATTTTCGGTGGTTGGTGTGAATATTAGAAACTATGAATTTTGAGTTATTTATTTAAATAATAGTATATAATATGAATATATTGATATTATTATTAATTTAAATAAATATAAGTGAATTAAGGGCAAAGTGGACATTTGAGGAGGAGTTAGTGAGGGTGAATTTGGAAAGCCTAATTTTAAGGCCCAAAGTTAGGTTTAACAAAAAGTAATTTTAAGGAAATTAGGATTCATTCTTGTTAGACCGTGAAAAGGGAAGAAATAGAGGTCAGAGCTCTGAGGAAGAGGATTGAGGCAAAAGCTTCGCGAGGTTTCCAAGAATCAAAGAGAAAGGCTTAGAGTCGGCAATTAAGATATGGGGAGTATTGTCTTCATTGTTTTCAATATGTGATTCAATGTATTTAAAGTTGATTTAAGGGTTTAGGGATATTTGAGTATTGAATTGTTTTTGCCTTCTGATGGTGAGTTCAATGAGTTTGAGGGATTTGAACTGATGGTCTAATAGGTTTGAGGTTGATTTGAGAAGAAGGGAAATTAGGCCTTCGTGGCCAAAATTTGTTGAAGAGGTTTTAACCATATAGGGTAATTGATTGTGAGAACTTTAATGACTGTGAGATAGTTGTAAGAAATTATGGGAATTGGAGGCGCAAATATGATACAGGATTGACCTAATAAGTCATAGATTTTGTGCCTTTATCACCGTAATACCTTAGGAATGATTTAGGGATGTTTTTAGCGCATTGGGGAAGGAAATTGTAGAGGTTTTTGGACTGGTTTTGGTGCTGGTACGTAACAGCGATTTGTTGTAATCGCGAGTTCGCACAGCGAAGAATGCTTCGCATGACGAACATTCGCCCCAGACTCGCACTGTGAACTTGCTAGCGAACGTAGCAGAGTTTCGCGAATTCTGATCTTGTGCAGTGATGTCTCGATGTTTTGATGTTGTGATTTCTTTGATGAAGTACCATGAGTATGACTATGATTCCTTTGTGATTATTACATGATTGGACGATGATTCCTATAAGTAATGATGATGAGTTATGATGTTGATTTCATAAGTTTTGATGATTATATGATGACATGATTATTATAATGATTTT